AACATGCGATTATAAACATTTCCCCAGAATTTGGGTACATTTTACTCATCGTAATAAAACTGGTTTACTCAGATTCTGCCAACTCCTTACTGCACATAAGAATGGCTACCGTCTACCCAGTCTCAGAGTACACAGAAAATGAAACCTACCTAAAGCTTGAGTTTAAACAACTCAAATTTAAGTAAAACCGCAGTAAACTCAGCACGGAAAACACGATCGACGGAAAACAATCAAGAATAAAAAATCTCTGTTAAATCTATACACGCTAACTTGAAAGTACCCATTAATGGTTGAAAAAGAACCATTTTGAAGAAAAGTGGCTTAACTCATTAAATGAGTAAATTTTTTACCCATTAATGAGTATCTGTTACCCATTAATGAGTAATTGTTAATCATTAATGGGTAGCAGATACTCATTAATGGGTAAAATTGTTTAATCATTAATGAGTTAAGCCACTTTTCTTCAAAATGGGTCTTTTTTTACTCATTAATGAGTACTTTCAAGTTAGCGTGTATAGTATTTCGTACTTACGACGACTTTAAATTTCCGACGATTGCACATAAAAACTCTCCATAGTATAGTCCACAACACTCATCGTTAACATTATCGTTTTTGTTTTGAGTTATGAAGGTTTTGACGTATGATAGAGAAAGCTAGTAAGTAGAGAAACATGTAAAAAAAAAGCCTATTTACCAAATGTAAACAATGACTTTGAACGATTTTCTTTTGTTTGTTTGGATTACCTCTAAGCTTATTGTACATTCAAACTATAGCAGATATAACGATATTTAGGCACTTTTGATATCATATTATATAACGTTATTACGTTATTAATATCAACTACAGTCTGAACGTAGTACAATGTCATGACGTCAGGGTAGGCGTGTAACATGCATGAGAAAGCTAATACTGTTTGCCACACCTTGTATTTGACTAAACGTATGAATTGATTACACGCTTAAATAATAAGGCCACGAATGTTTTTAGTCACCTTTCTCACCGGGAGAGGGTATTACTTATGCGTCTTTTCAGAAATATATGGGAATTCTGGAAGTGAACCATATTGTTAATTTATAATATTTGCTTTAACACTCTTGGGTCATTCGTGACTTGTCCCGGGGTGAGATTTGAACTCGTGACTTTGGCGTGAGAGGTTTGGATGTTAACCACTACGCCGGGGTCGAAACTAGGAGGTTTGGTGCATTATGGAACAAATTTGAATCTATGGCTATAAATTACGTTTTAAAAGTTGGAGAACAGGTATAACGTGATTAGACGCTAAGCTATCGAATCTCCCTAAAGGACAGACGAGTGATTTTTTTTTAGTTTAAGTCGGTACTTATTTTTCGACTCTGACTCCGACTCTATTTGGCCTAAAATGGGTCCGATTCTGACTCTTACCTTTACCATAAATTAGGTATGTTTGGAAACATGTTATGAATATGTTTATGATGGCATAATTACACACCTAGAAATACCTAATTTTACACGTGACGGAATCCATCTTTGACATAAAGGATGAGACGTAAACAAACATGCCATGTAAAATTAAGTGCTCCGAGACAGAAAAGTTCGTTACTCGACGAAAAGTATGACTCAATTTTTTGTCAAAATTGACGCTCATATATGTCAGTCTCAGAGCACATAAATTTACATTAATTATGTACATAATTTTTATTAGTTTGAAGTGAATAAATGCTTTTCAAACATTTATGAATCCTCACAAGCGTTTAAGGGTCACCTACATTAGGTCTGTTTGCATTGCGTTGACGTCAATTTGACATGTAAATACATAATAGATCTAGCTGTCACTTTACAGCAACGCGTCAGATCCGGATCTAATGTGGGTGTTTCACCTCTGAAAATGATCCTGATCACCAAAATTTAAGTAATAGTCTCATCTCTTTTATGCCAAAGGTTTCGGGAATGCCACACTTTTAGTTTTATTTTTATTCTAACAAAGACACGCGAATCTTTATCATTTTATCATCTCATATTATTTTTTAATATATCACAAATTCGTTAAAATTTTTGAGATTTTTTATAATTTTGTTGAAATTGCGTGAAATATTTCAATGATAATAACAAATTGCAGTACTGCTCTCTGGTATTCGCTTGAAATTTTCTTCATTTCACGTTATGAATTCTCTGCATAAAACTAATATCTTCGAATTCTTAAAATTTCTCGCGAAAAAATATGCTCATCCTCAGAATGTTCTCAAATTCTCATGGAATGCTCTCAGATATTCTTTACAATTCTCCTATACAGAATCCCATTGACATTCTTCTTGAAAATTCCTATTATTCTGATGCCTTAGAACACACTTCAGAGTTCATTTGACATTCTCCTTAGAATTGGATTGAAAGTGTCCACAGAGTTCCCTTAGGATTATTCATAGAATTCTTCTGGAATACGTCCATAATTTTTTTGAAATTGTTCTCGGATTTCTCTTCTTGAATTGCCCTTAGTTATTCATTGAAATTCTCGTCAGAAAATCCATAGGAGTTTTTTTTTAATTGCTTTCGAATACTCCCAGTAATTCCGTAATTTTTATTTGTTTTAAGACCCTTTGGAATTCTCTTCAACATTTGATTTTAAGTCTTTTTGTAATTCTCCTCAAAGTGCTCTAGTCATTCTGATCCAAGGCATCCATCGATTCAGGTATGATTCGAATCCGTACTGGCATCCATTATCAGATGCAGGAATCGAACTGTCTCTCATGAAGGATTCTTACGGATCTGCCACGCAAATCCTACATTATCTCACGTAGGAGCCAAGCTGTTCCTCACGAGTGATCATAATCGACCAGCTGCTCAAAGTATCCATCAGTTCACACAGGAATCCTTCTATTTCTCAATAGAACTCGTAATGCATCTGCCGCTCAAAGCATCGATCGATTAACGCAGGAATCAAACTGTGTCTCACAACGAATTGTAACAGACCAGCCACTCTAGAGAACCATCTTACGAAGGAATCGAACAGTCTAACACAAGGGATTTTAACAGATCTACCGCTCAAGGCATTCATCATCTCACGCCGGAGTCTAGCAGTTCCACCGCTCAAAACATCCATCGAGTCACGGATTAGTCAAACTGACCCTCTTGAGCGATAAATCTGTTCATTAACTTATGCAGGAGTCAAGCTGCCGCTCTATGCACCTATTATCATACGAAGGAACTGAGCAGCTCGGCACGAAGGATCGTAACGAACCTGACGCTCAAGACATCCATCGACTTATATAGGAGCCACCTTACAAAGGATCTTGATCGACTTGCTGTTCAAGGCATCATAAAAAACATGAATTCCCGACTCAATCTTTTTAATGATCGGCATTTATCACTTTTCCCAGAGTTCAGTTCCAATTTGGATTCTTTGCCTTTGTCGATTGGGAATACTTTGCTCCATAGTCTGGACCTCCATAGCGGTTTCTTGATCGTTCTTTTGATAGATTCTATTTACGATGTGTGTTTATCTACCGTTATTCCTCAAACTGAATCTCTGAGGCATTCTTATATATTTTCATTAAATTATATGTTTTTTTTTCCGCTCATTGCTATCATTATTCTCTACAGTGTCCTCAGAATTCCCTTGAAATACTACAGAGATTCCTTGAAATTAGCTTCAGAGAACTTCAACACTAAATTATCTTGGGATACTCATAGTGCTTTCTTGAATTTGTTTTAAACATTATGTAGGAACTCTCTTTAAAATTTCGTTGCGGAACTTTCATGAGAATATGTTTGAATTTGTCCTCAGAATTCCTTTAGAACTCTTCTCACAATTCCTTAGAAATTCTGGTCGCAACTTTCTAAGAAAGTTTCCAATAATTTCTAGAATTTATTACAGAATTCCTTGAAATGCTGTCCGAAATTCTGCTCAACATTATCTTTAAATTCTGTTCTCAATTCCCTTGGAACTCACCTCAAAATTCCCAAGGAATGCACTTTTCCCTTGAAAATGTCCTAGATACTCCTTAGAGTTCCCCTTACAATTATCTTGGAACTCACCTCGTTACGAGCTCTATAAGAATTCACCTAAGATTTTATTTATTATCTTCACAATTCTCTTCAAAATTTCATCCCTTGACTTATTTTTGGTCGCTATTGAAAATTTAGTCGATTGCTGAAATTAGGGGCATTTAGGCCGACATTACATGCATTTCCCTTACATGCCTGGAATTATAATTATCATTATTATTATTACCACTAACTATCTTGACCTTCTTCTTGAACATGACCTGAAGATCTTTTAACACTACCCTAGGAATTCGTCACAGAATTACCTTGGAATTCCAATTAAAACTTCTCCAGAATTCTCTCCATGTAGGAAATAGGAATTTTCCTCACAAATTCCAAGGAAAATCAAGAATTTCTTTTGAACCCAACGAAGTTTTGTTTTCTTAAGATGTTCATATCCCTGGGATTTCCTAGATTTTCTTCAAACTCCGTCGTCTTGAACATTTCTTTTGTTTTAATTTTCCTGAATGTCAGACACCTTGAATTCGACTAACAATACACTGAGATAATTTTAAATTACTAACGATTAAATCAAAATCGCATAAATTCAAATTTTACGAACATGGATCAACTCTCAATTGCATTGACCACAAGCGTGATTTCGGATTCCTTGAAAATTGAAAAAAAAAAAAACAGCTGATGACTCAGCAAAACAATTCTACTGAAACAATTTATTCTGATTTCCCATGGTGATAAAGTGTTCTAAAAGTATAGCATTAAAGCTCTATGTCCAAAACCTAATGTTCTTAATCACTTAACCGTTAATTGTTTTTGTTTTCTTAATTTTTTTTTCATTTGTTTCACATTGTTCAATCCTTATTCAATGGTTTACATTTTCTGTATTTTCGCTAACAATAACTTGTTTAATCCAGTAAACAAAAATACCAATAACAACATTTGGCACTCAGCCAATTTAAAAATAATTGCTTGTTTCTGTTACCCATTTAATCGTTTTTAAAGCTATGTTTTCTTTCTTATTTGATTATCATTTGAGTAGGAAATTATCGATACTCTGTAACAAAATAGTTTTGTACTTATTGCTATGATTTTGTTTTAGTTCTTTCCCATATGATTTGCTTCCTTACATATGAGAATCGAAGTTGTCCGCTTCGTCCAACATGTTTCGGAAATTCGGTCTTCCATTCGGTATGAAACCGTTCCTGGCACCACCGACTGGGACTGCTCCACCACCCAGATGACCATTGGCCAAACTCACATGATGAATGATAGTTGGCACAACCCCGGGAACATCCGCGTCCAAGTCATGGACGATGGCATCGGTATTTTTCGATCCAACTCCCGACTTGCGACTCTGCTCTATAGCATTCTTAAAGCTGCCGATTTTCACCGGAGAAATGTCGATGTTTGTCTGATTCAAAACCTTCTGGATGCTTTCCCGCACGATGCGTTCGAATTCTCGTTGGACTGTAGGACTGTCAGTGTCACCGTCGACCTTGAATGATTGAAAAAGAATATGAAACGTACGGTCAGACAACATCTTCCTCAACTTGTCGGCACCGTCCTTAGACGTTAAATTTCTGAACTTGAACTCATCTGGTCATCATTTATTCAACGACAGATGAAGCAATTATGGATCAATTTAAATATATGTCCCGCTCTCAAACACGCTATACACGCCAAATCCCATTCCGGAACCTTGAACGCAGACAATGAAACTTTGCTTCCTTCTGGCACGTGAATAATAGATCATTGACGTCCAAAAGTCAATACACTTACAATGGTCAACCGTCCAGCGGTGTCCATTTCCTTGAGCATCGGGAGTGTCAGTTCACGGAATAGCTCCAGCCGTCGTCGGAAGGAAGATACGGTATCATCCAGCCGGCCCCGGCCTAGCTGAAGCTTCGAACAGTCCAACAGGATAATGGGTGGCGTTTGACGGTACTGTGGAGATCGAAATAGATGATTCAAATTAGCCTGAAAACCAAACAACATTCCGCCGTACCTTTTGTTCGAATTCTCTCACTTGCTGCATATCCCTAGGATATCCATCTACTATCACTCCTCGTTTGTCGCTCAGCTGGGCCAGCTGGCTTGCGATAAGTTGCTCTAACGATTTCTTAGGAACCATTTCACCGGCTGTAATTGCTTCCTTCACGGCATAATTATCCGTACCTACCCGAGGATCTGATTCGGCTATCGCCCGTAGCAGACGTCCCACACTGCAATTATAGGAGAAAGCGAAATTAATTTCACATGCCCTACGTGATTGGATGCATATGGTGAATACCTAAAATGACCCCACCCCGGGTTGATTCCGACCGTTTTCAAGCAAAGCGTCGCCTTATTGCTACCGGGCCCACCAATTACCCAAATGATTGGCGGAATCTGACCCGGTTTCAAGGTCACACCCTGCCCGATGGGACTATCCTGTCGGATTGGTTGCATTCCTAAGCTAACTCGTGACTGCTGCCGTATCATTGGCGCAGGTCCTGGCGCTACTACTTGCTGCTGATGGGGAGGCGGTGGCGTTGGCGATCGGTTACGGTTATTGATTTCTACTTGATGCGCCTCCGAAGCTGCAATAACTTTATTTTGACTAGGTGCCGTTTCTACGCTAACTATACTGCCGGGAATGTCGTCTACGCCCCTACCCATACCTGCGACTCCGTTCAGCAGTGCTTCCTGGTTTTCCTGCGCCCCGAGAATATCGAGCACGGCCGCCCGGAAATCTTTGTACACCTCGGAGGGGGCTCGTTCGCCGTTGATCTGTAGCGGAAAAGAATGGTACCAATTACCTGTAAATGTTAAAACTTCAACAAGCACCCACCGCAATCAGCATATCACTCTGATCGAAATAGTCCGCAACGGGCATGACGTTTTTGAAAAAGTTTTCCAACTCCATCTTTGCAAGTGACAGGACCACGTGACCAAGCTTGGCACCGTAATCAATCTGGCGCTGAAGAATCGTCTGGCGCCAGGATATCAGTATCACACCGTTAATCACTTGGATCTGATGAAACCGAAGAGAAGGACAACAAGTACTAGTTAGCTATTTGTTTGTGTATTATTCAGTGAGCCTTTGAACCGTGAAAATTATAGTTGGATTAATTTTTTAATTGGTTCATTTGAATTTTTTAATGGCTCATTTAATATTTTGTAAGGGAAATTTCTCAATTACTTTTTCAAAAGAATGTATCTAATTTTGTAAACAATGCATTTGATCGTCGGTTTGGCGTAACTGGTAGCTCGCCCACGCATACAAACACCACTTTCATGTAGGGGAAACTTTTCTCTATCTGATGGTTGTATTGGATGCATGGGCGGGCAAGCTAGCAGTTACGCCAAATCAACGACCAAATAAATTGTTTTCAAAAGCAGATACGTCCCTTCGAAAAAGTGATCGAGATTTAATCTTCGCTCCACTCCTCTGACTAAAAAAACACGGACAGGACAGAAAATCTACGGATCAAGGAAACTTTTGAGGAAAATTTTTATCTTTCTTATGGATGATTGTTTTAAGGAGAATATTTTTAAATTTACTGGTGCAGTTTTACTTAAGGTTATATTTGGCTTTAGTCTATTTTTGTCAGAGAAACGAATACAAGATGATGCAATTAATTTCACTATTATTATATGTAAATAGATACTCCTAGGTCATCAGCATTACCACTCACCCACGTTAATGATACCTATTGCTAAGCTATTTTTATACCACGCATGCCATGCATGTTCACATCAATCATCATCTATTGTTTCTAAGATTAACCCTAGAGACGACTACCGATGATAGCCCGCCCTTTGTCATTAATGTAACCCCCCATGTAGGTATCGTGTAAGTAAGAAAACTTAGAACACCACGATCGCACTCACCTTTTCGGAATACTCAACCACGTCTCGCATGGAACGCGGATACCCGGAGACTAGGTAGGTTTTGGCAGCAGGGGACATTTTCATTTCGAGCATTAACACTTCAGTTACAGTCCGGGACGATAGCTGGGAGAAATCCTGCATATCTGCTAGAAAAAAAATGTTTATGAACAGACCTTTCCCAGCCAAATATACAATATATGTTCTACATTAATTTCTATAAATCCTACTGAATTACGTCCTCTGCAGTAGGAGTACAAAATTAATCACAAGCTCTGAAAACCTGAACCAACTGGCTTCCGAGAATGATGATACTCCAAGAACGTTTTTACTCGATTTGCAATGCCGGCTGAGATTTCCTCGGTATGGAAATCATATACCGCAGTTAATGACTGTACAAAGTGTATTATTTGACCTTAATTAATATTTTAGTCCACTATCAACAAGCATTAAGGAAGAAATCAAGCCGTATCGAAAATCGATAAGACCAGACAATCAATGGACGAACAACAATGTGCGGTGGCTTGCTCCTCGGGTGGAGCAAAATGGCAAAAACGGCTCGTTTGCAAAGTGGATAATTTTGCTTCCCGGTACTGGATGTCACACCGTTTCCAGGCTATCAATAATGTATGGCAAATTTTTGGTCGTTCGTTGGCTTGGTGTGCGTGTGCTGATGGTGACTCACCATTTCCGATGGCATACTGTTGCAGCAGATCCATCATGTTGATGTGGGTGACCCCCCGGCGTTCCTGCATCAGCGTGTCGCAGTGGGTCACTTTACCACTACCGGGGCCACCGAGCACGAAGATGACGGGGACCTTCGGCGGGTCGAACTTGACTTTGCCGGTGTTGTGCATTCCGGCGCCGGCGTTGATCGGACTGCCCCCACCGAGCGTCGGCGAGCGAGCGATGGCCGAACGTGTGTCGCCGCCTCTTCCGCCGCCTTTCCAGTCTGACTCGTCCACCTCCTGTGTGGTGTTGCTTTTGTCTGGTGGAAGAAAGTGGATGTTGAGAAGTTATGCGTCAGTTGTTGGAAATCTTAGAGCTAGTTGAAGGATTGTTGCTTCTGGATCGTTTCAGTAGCTATATTAAGAAACATACATTCACATCCCCGGTTGTACCCTGGATTGATATCTCTTAAGTGGACTTAAAGCATGGGTTCAAAAGATTTGAACAGCCGGTAAGACAAATTCAGTGCGCGAGTTACGTTTACTCAAAATAGCGAAAAAAAATTGTTGAGTCGATCTTCTCCGCTTCGTATTAAACTTTGCGTAATTATTTGTTATGTACAAAGATTCATATTTTTGGAAAAATTCGGCCATTTTGGATCTTGAAAAATCATCAAAACAGCGTCTTTGAATTTTTTCTAAAAATTGTAGCACGGAAACGACATTTCGATCGAAAAAAATATCAAGGCTCTTGGAGTTGGATGGTCTGACATCAAAAATTTCCAAAAGAATTACGATAAGAATAAGGATAATTCCAAGAGTATTCTGTAGTAAACTCTGTTGAAATTCTGGAAATCTTTCGTAAGAATTTCCGAGGAAATATCCAAGGCTATTTTTAAAATGCTTTCCTGGGCTTCGTGAGAAAAACCTAAAGTAAATTCTATGAAGAATTTCAAGGCAGTTATGAGTAGAATAACCCAAGTAACCAACAAGCCCACTTTATTTACACTTTTTGCTATATAAAGTTTTTAATCTGCTTACGCCATACGACGATTTGAATGGTACAATCGATAGAACTGTTTCAAACACATCGTCGGTACATGAGCGATCAACGAACCGAATGATAACGCTTTGTCAGAAGTGGAAAGCAATAATGATATACTCTTCTGCCGTTTTTCATGACAAGCAGCCCGTTCGTCACAGCTCACTCGGGGTGATAGAAGGAAACGAGCAAATTGTGGACAAGCTGCTTCACGAAGTAAAGCCGGAGATGATACACGTGTGAAGGGATTTTTTTTAAGTATGTGTTTTCTCGATTCAGATCAAGCTATGTCCTCAGGTATGTAGGTATATTGCAACAATGCAGACAAGCACATAGACGTAGCCAGAGGTTGCTACATGTTGTTACCCCCCGGATCTTCCATCCTTTGAACTGCAAACACTGGTGGTACGCCGTAGAAATACATCATCGGGATTTTTTGTTAGTGTCCGCCTTGGTTCTTCGTTCGCAAATTTTGTGAGAGTGGAATTACGCCCGGATATTTTTTTGGTCTTCTTTTTGTTCGTTGTTTACAAGTGAAATATCAATTGGATGCATTTCAAATGAATCGGGCGTGACTAGATACAGAATCAGTACGTTTGGCATATTAGAACAATATAATTCGTAGCTCTGGTGCAATGCGTAACAACCAGATCCATCATAGAGTTGAAAGTTGGAAATACGCCATGTAAGAAGAAATGTTTTTGATGATTTGAAGTGATATTTTCTTCTACTTTTTCGTGTTTATCGAGTAGTTTGAGAACTGTTCTCTTTATATGTGACAAAATATGGTTTGTTTACATTTTGGAGCTACGCCTTTTTCGAATGTTAGTCTAGAGATGATCAACCCGATTCGTACCTTTCCTTCCTCAAAGTTGTTCTTGCTCGCTTTCTACTCTCCATATACAATTTTCACACACACACACTACTCTAACTCTATGCTTTCATTTTTTTTCATCTATCGTATAAAATGACCACTTTAAGCCTGTTATTTGAAACTTGGCATCTTCAACTTCGTTAACTTCACGCAGAACAAATACAAACATAAATAGTTAAATCTTATTTTTCCAAGTTTATCTAAGTTTTGCATATTTTATCTAAGTTTTAAATGCACTCTATAAGCCTCAATCATAGTCTACAGAACCATCATAAAACTCTAATTGTTACTTGGGTTGGATCGATATTGCAGGATCAGATATTATTTCTTGACATTTTTCCTCTTGTACCCAAGTAACATTGCAAGTTTTATAGAGGTTTTATATCATTCTACAAGCCTTAATCGTGGTCTACAGAACCCCCATAAAACAAAATATGATACTTGGGATATAGTGCTAATGCATATCATTTTTTGATATCAAGATCATAATTTTGCATACTGAGGAGAACGTTGTAGAGAATTCCTATGAGTAAGTGCAGCTTTATAAAAGATACTTTCAGCCTTGGGCTGGATCTCGTCTCTTCGAAGTGAGTTTCGGCAAAAGAATACTTAGGGATATCTGAGGAGAGTTCTTGTGGAAGTTACAGAAGAATTTGAAGAAAAAATCTGAGCGCAATTCTACGGAGAATTTCGTTGTTATTTCATGGAACGGAATTATGATGAATATTTCATTGAAATATTAGAGAGAATCGAGGAGAAAAATGTATGCGAGTTCTTGGAAGAATGATTAAACAGTTGAAGGTAACATTAGAGTGAATTTCAATAGTTTTCTGGAGAAAATACCTTATGTTTTTTTCTTTTTCGCTTTTTATTACGTCTCTACTGGCACTTCACCCCGGCTAAGTTAGTGTTCTTTGAGCATTTCCACAGGTGTTAATTGAGAGCTTTCTAAGCCTGTACAATTTTGGCATTAGTATATGTAATTGAGTAGCAAGTACTGGACATACTCTATGCCCAGGGAAGACAATTAATGTTTGAACACGAAACATTCCTTTTTCCTTGATTTGTTTTCCATCGATCTTGTTTTCCGTGCTGAGCACCAATGCTACCGACGCCAGGAAGGCAGCTCCCACACCTGGACCCTACCTATCGACCCATCAACTCATGAACCGGGGACCAACGGCTTTACTTCCCTTCCGAAGGAAAGCGTGATCAGAGATGTTATTGCCTCAGAACATCCCGGCGGCGCCGACTGGAATTGAACCCAGGCCTGCTGGGGTGAGAGGCAATCACGCTTACCACTACACCACCGGCGCCGCTCACGAAACATTCATATACCAGAACGGGAATCGGACCCAGCCGCCTCCATCATGATCTTGCTTTATAGCTGCGCCTTTAGCGACTGAGCTAAGGGAGGCCCAATACCTTAAGTGTTGTATAGAATATTGAAGGGATTAGCACAGGAAAAAAACACAACCTTATTTATCCTTGCGATATTTTGACATGAAATTCTTGGCAAATTTTGACATGAGATTCTTGGTAAAATTTTATGTGAGATGATTCAAAGGCAATTCTTGAAAAATCTTCTAACCTGTGAAGAGTTTCAATGAAATTGATAAGTAAATTCTGACATGCCTAGGAAAAATTTAAAGATATGTACCCATAATATGTTGATGCTTAAAAAATTATTTGGCATTCTGGGATTGAGACTTTTTTGATCTTAATTGATCCATCTAAAATGGAGGATCATACCCCAAGATAGTGGCTTCCGTTGTGTAAAAATGCCTCAGAAATCCGGTATCAACGGAACGGGCACGACAAGTATCGAGCTCAAAAATCGATGCCTGGAACTATTTTGGGATCCAATATGGTGGACCTGGTTTGAGTTAATGCTTTAGAAACTATATAATAAACATCTACAAAATGGGCTCGATGAGTGGAAATACGATTTTCGGTATCCAAAATCAGTGTTCACTCGGCTATCGAAAATAGCAGGCCACGCTTGATGTGTGTCACGCGATCGTCTGTTTACTCGGGAGCAACCACTGTGTGGTTCTCTTCATTGTTCTTCATCAGCAGTTCTTTCGGTCTATTCGACGTTGACTTTTTTTTTTTTTTTTTTTTTTTCTTTATTTAACGTCGGTCTCTGTTCCGCAATCTAGTGCCAATCACCGACGGACATCGATTGCCATCCATTGACGGCAATCGAATGTGCAGGAAGGCAGCTTCCACACCTGCGTAGGATATCGCACCCATTCAACACACATGGGCCGGGACCAACGGCTTTACTTCCCTTCCGAAGGAAGACGTGACCAGAGATTTTTATGCCTCAGAAAAATCCCACCGACCTCGACTGGGATTGAACCCAGACCCATTGGGGTGTTAGAAAGCAGTCACGCTTACCTCTACACCACCGGCGCCGGCTACGTTGACTTTGAAAAGAAACCGTTTCGTGATGAATGTGTGAGTGATGACCACTGACATACAATGAAAACACTGGAAGCGGCTCCCGTTCTGATGGAGAAGGCTTATTGGAAAGCGGAAGATAAAGTGTACCTTAAACATCTATCTTGAGGATGAATAAGAAAGATTTGGAATTGCGGATATGTGAAATAATTGAAATATAAAATTCTGATGCACGGTGTGGCTGACAAAATCGGGCCTTTACTATATTTTTTAAAAAAACAACTCGGCGAGCCCATTCCACAGATATGCATATTGTAGGGTTTCTGAGGCATTTTTTCAAAACAGATGTAGTCATCTTGGATTCAGGTCCATATTGGATCCAAAAAATCAGAATTTTGATATTCGAATCATGCCACATTTTGAACATTTGCCAAAGCCCAGAATCTGGATACTAAATTATAGTCCATGGGTCTCGGAAGGTTTTTGGAAATGGTAGTCAAATTGTGTATAGTTGAACTCAACAACTCTGTTAGTTTAGGAAAAATAGTCAAATAGGTTGTCTCATCAAATAAGAAGCAAATGAGCAAGTCTAGGCCAATAGCAAATACAATATTGATTTTTCTGTCCGATTTGTATGAAATTTGGCATAATTGTTAGTTATGGCCAATCATACACATTTGAGCTATTTGGCCATTTTGAATGTTGTATTTTTTTTTTCAAAATGGCATATTCGACATTTGCTAAAAATCCGTAGCACGAAAATGTCTCTTCAAATCGAAATGATGTCTGGCACAAAGTTGTAGGGCAAAAAAAAAGTCCATCGAGGAAAAATATAAGCAGGTTTTTTTTTATTATCGGACAAAAAATCCAAAAAAGTGTGTAACAACAAAAAATGTCCTTGTGCAACATTTTTATTGTTATTTAATAGCTTATGGCCATTCAAATTGTTTGCTGAACAAAAATTACAAAAAAGCTCTAAAATGTTACCGCAATTAATTGATCTACGATTTTTGTAATTCTTTAAGTGTCAATAATTCAAAACTCTAGCAGCACACTTGACATTGAACAGTAGTGTTTAGTTTTATGTAATTTGTTTCAGTCACCAAATTACAGCAACTTATTTATTATGATACATAAGGTTATAAGGTTTTAACACTTTTTCTACTCAAAATTAATAATAAAAATGTCCGTGTATGTTTTCCCAAGAAAATATATATATATTTTCCCAACAACCTTGTCTGCATATAGGACCTATTGAAATGTTTATCTAGATTTAGATTTGAAGTGACGTTTCCGTGCTACAATTTACTGAAAAAATGTCAAATACGTTGGAAATCAAAACGCAGAGAGCAACCAACAGCAAATACAAAACGGTTGGAACGATTACCACGATAAACTCTCTTTGCAATATAGCTTGATCAGAACGATGGAAGGAAAGAGATATAATTATGTGCAAGCTTTGTTGTAATTAGAGTGGCCCACATACGTATGGGATATTTTTAGTTCTCTGCAAATACACCATTTTGAAAAAAAAAATCAAATGGCCAAATTTTCGCATAATTCTCGCGTTACATTTCAAATAGACCAATCTACATTGATCGATTTTGTTCATCGACTATCGCTTTCGTAAATAACTTGGCTACAAAACGTTTCCTGTCGTCTTTGTCGCATTAGATGCTAGGTTGCTGCTTTTTCCATCGAACTGTGTGTCAAAATTTCCGGGAATATCTTATCACGGCCGCCCCGATCCAAAGAGAAAGTCTATGAAGAAAATCGATCAATGTAGATAGGACCTACTGAAAAGTGATGCAAGAAATGGAAATGATTGCCCATAAAAAATAATTATGCAACGTTTCATGCAATTCGGAGAAGGTCAAGTTAGCTCGATTTCTCATTTGGCGTCATTTTTCGTCACAATACAACGTATCTTCAAAACTTCATAAAAATATGTAATCACTCAACAAAGATCCAATGGTTTGAGTGGAGGAATGATTTCATCCACTACAATCAACACCCACAAATATACATAAGAAAGCACACTTACCTGTATCCAAACAAATACCCATTATCCATTCGTGTTATTCTAAAGTATGATCACACTTAAAATCACATATATTGAATGCTATCCACTTTTTTCACAGTAAAGCTATGCTATGCTGGACGTTTCTTCGATATAAACTGTACCTAGCTTCGTTTTGTTTCAGACCATTTATCCGAGGAATAGCATAGAATGATCACACTTCAACCGGAATGATTGCATGTTACACCAACTAGGTAGGTTAGCGTTTGTTTTGATCACCACCGACCATAGGAAAGCAATAATTTCAATCTAACTGGGTGGACTACAATACGATTTACGATGTTGTGTACAAAGCAACTCAATTTTCCACGTTCACTAAAATTACTCTTCCTAATCACCGGATATCGAAAAACGATGGAAAGACATTGGACATTGTTGGAAGGGTGTGACTGAAGGTAAGTACATCAAAATTCAATTATCCTTAGTTCATTTTTCCACCTACGCCCCAATCCTTATGAGATATCGACGATAATGATGGGTCACAAAGAAATAGGGTAACATTGTATATTATGGATAAATCCTTAAAGTATCCAGTGGGAATAGACTTGATAATTTGAAAACTTGTAAATTTCTGTTCAAAATCAATACATCGCATCGCTATTGTCAACGACAATAATAATGCAATTAGTTGTGACGTCACTCGACGCTATTTCACGACTGTTAATGCGCGTCCCAGAGCGAACTCGTTCATTTATAATTGATTATGTTTTGACCTGGCGAGGAATGTTTTTGTTTGCTTTGAAGTAAGTATAATTACATGTTTACGTTTATGGTACACAGGTATATCCATTTTGCCCTGCCATGTGCATCGTGTGTTGCGTTGTGTGTGCGAAACTAAGAAATGGTCATTCAACACAACAACCATCACAATGTTTCGCGGGCACGAACTGGACCGTAAATCACCGTATTTATGTTGATTTTGAAACTACTTTGCTCTTATCGTGAAATCTGTGAGAGTGAATTGGAGCGGAACAGTCATTTTATGAGAATGAATTGCAACATTTGTCTCACTTTCAACATGATTTCGGCTACTGGAAGCGACGAGACGATAGGAAATTGACAAATTTAGATGATTGATGTACCCGAACGAATTCGTTGCGTGTACAGTAGCTGGAACATCGTCTGTGTCGTAGGTAATTGAGCTCATTCATAGACAATATTGTCCTGGCTTTTTGCTTCTGAGAGCATGTTTTATCGTGAATATAATTGTAGGGTCCATGGTTTGATCGTCAACAGAGGAATAAAGAAACGTCAATTGGAACTGACGCCTGGTACTCACTAAATAATGGTTTACCACACCATTAACGATAACATTTTGTTATTTATTGCTTATTCTGATATTCTCATGTCTATTTTTGAGTGAATTCCTTCACTTGTTTAGTGCTCAATTCTTATTTATTTGTTGCCTGTTTCCTGGATTTTTATTGGCGATTTCGAAGTTTTTTATTGCTATTTAAAGTATTTATATTGATATTTAATTAGACTGCCTAGATGTACTAGTTATGGCTATACGATCCTATTATGATAAGGGATTTCCATATTCCATTATTGGAACACACCATAATAGGAACTTATATCCGTAACTGGTACATCAACCTTACTTAGTTTCGAGTAAACAATTTGTTTCCGAAAAAAAATTGAGGAAGCCTTGAGAAGTATTAGGAATTTCGGAGAAGTGTTGGTGCAGGCGGAGAAGCCAAAACAGCTTCAAAGAATTTTAATTGACTTCAGAGGATTTACAAAAGTTCATATTAGGGAGCTTCAATCAGGATTTTCTCAAGAAATTTAGATAGATTCAGAGAAGAAATTCGTGGCGGAGCTTTGGAAAAGTTCTGGGGTGTTCGAGATGATCAGGGAGCGTACATTTAGGGAACCACGTAAAAGTTCAGACCAACCCAAAATTTAATCGAGTCGAATCAATTTCGGCAAAAGAGGATTTACTCAAAAGTGAGTTGAATTTTCCGAGCAAAAGTTGTGAAAAACCAGGAAAAACTTCTCGAATATGAGGAAAATCCATTAAAATGTTTACTCTGCATAGGAGTTTATAGACTAAGTGAAATATTCATCGATTTTCGTCATGCTCGAGAAGTTTTTTTTTCTGTACTAGCCCGGAATATTCAACTCACTTTTGACAAAATCTCCTTTTGCCGGAATTGAGTCGACTCGCTTTAAAGAATTTCAGGGAATAATGGGATGAAATACAAACTTTTCAGGGATTCCAGAGAACTTTAAAGAAGTTTAGAGAAGTTTGGCGATCATTGAGGAAGTATGGAGAATTGCCAGGATATAAGCGAGGGGTGCGACACTTTTAAATTTCAAATTTAAATAGTCGAAAAATCTGATGCTAGCGAATCAATCTACAGAAAATCTGTTTTTATCTCTTAAATCTAAATCCATCTACTTGGATCTCTGAAGGTAGGAAATCTTCAAAATCATAACCAATCGTATTTCTATCTATTAAGCGTGAATGCATCTCACAACAACAAAGTAAACATTTTACTGCATCTTAGATAGAGTCGACCCTCTCGGATAAAACATATCAATAAAGGTTAAGAGTCATTCGGCCGGGTGACAGTACGCCGCATGCCATCAGGCTGAACGTCATTAGGCCGAAATTGTAATAATTGTACGTTTTTTAAAGTCCAGCATTCATATTGTTCCAGTTTGAGATATAAGAATGAGCATTTGCTGCAACTGCTGCAATAATACCACATTGAACCTCTTAACAAACCGCTCATAATTGGTAGAACGAAAAGTCTGCTATCAAAAATCTTAAATTTGACATTATTGGACAAAATGGGCCCAAGGGTCTCAGAATTTTAAGAAATGTTGCCCAGTTTTTTCGAGTTTCAAACATTCCCATAAAATATATGGGGATATTTTTTACTATTGGACGGGTTTGGACTGATGGATTTTAGAATTTTATGAATTTTTGCCCACAGTTAGATTATAAATCCTATTTTTTAATATCATTATATTTTTCCTAAAATGTATTTTTAATTTAAAAAATTAAAAATTCACACATAATTGGGTTCGTTTACTTTACGCCTAATATGGGCAAACATAATCTGAGTAAGGCTTAACTGATCTTAGCGTGAAGGCAAGCGTCCGGAAGACTTTGAGTGCAATTTCAGTGGTTTCGAATGTAAACCGGAAAAAATAGACATTAGGTCTGTTCCTGTACTTGCTTTTCTGAAAGATTGTTTAAAAAGTTAAAGAATGTTCCCGTACTTTCTACAGCATATGATTCTCCTACAGCAACTACAGCAAGCTGCAGTAATTTACAGCAAATGCAAAAAAAGCAAGCACGGGAGCAGACCTATTATTATGTCCATTAGCTTAATTTAATAAAGTATTTCCACAATCCAGTTTGTTTCACAACCCCAAAATATAAACCCCAGACACCATATTGAAGAAGGTTTACACGTCACGCATATGGTATGAAGTTTGTATGGAAATTATGGTGAATTACTGTGGAAAATTTTTTAGATTTCACTACTACCGTGCTAGTTTTGGTTACACCCCTTTTATGTGAACCAAACCTCACTTAGGCAAACCATGAAACTATCGGGAAGAGAAGAATTTCCCCTACCTGACTTTTTTTCTTTGATTTGTTTTCCGTCGATCTTGTTTTCCGTGCTGAGCACCAATGCTACCGACGCCAGGGAGGCAGCTCCCACACCTGGACCCTACCTATCGACCCATCAGCTCATGAACCGGGGACCAACGGCTTTACTTCCCATCCGAAGGAAGGCGTGATCAGTGATGTTATGCCTCAGAACATCCCGGCAGCGCCGACTGGGATTGAACCCAGGCCTGCTGGGGTGAGAGGTACTCACGCTTACCTAATCCCCTACCTGATGCTGTTGATGGTTTACAAGCATCGCATCGTGCGAAAAAAAAAGGCATTACAACAGCTGATAGGCCCTTTTCAAATGTTAGAAGAGATTTGTGAAATTTAGACTACTTCCATACGTGGGTACTGCGGACTCACTAAATGGGCTTGTCACTTGGGAGCCAGTGTGAACTGTCAAACGTGAGCCAAACATTCAGAAGCAACAAATGCAGTTACTGTTCTTATCCATCGTCAAGCATTGTAATCTCATAAAAATTATCCATTCTTTTTCATAACACATTCTTAATTTTAAGATCAAAGGCAAAACACATCAGGCTCAGTGATCAAAGTATAAAAACCAGCATTTTTTTCCTCGTCGGATATTTTCATCACTGCGACCATTTTTCTGATCTATTGTGACATATTCCCCATTTTTTTCTTTAGCCATACACACTTAAATTTTTTCGCCGAGATTCCAACAGCCGAGTAGTTCTGCAATTTATTTTGCTGAGATTCAGTAAAACAATTGCCGAGACTCAGCTAACAAATAACTATTTGCAGAAATATCAACTAACAAACAGATATTTTGCAGAGATATCATCAAAAGTAAATGCCGAGGTAATCGGCTGTTGGAGATTTTACCGAGCTAGATTAAGTGTGTACCAAGATGTCGTATCACTATTATTAGGAGTGATCGCCATCGTTCGACTAATAGCATTATCCCAGCACGGCATTATACCATAGAGGTAACTCTATTATACTTCGAATAAAGTGCACTGCCGTACTGAGAGTTGTTATTTAAATGTCAAAGAGTTCTATCAGCCGCTTGTTGAAGAACTTACGCCTTTTATTGAAAATTGCCAGACAGTGGCATAGCAAATGTTCCGAGTCTTCCTTTTCTATGCCACAGAAGCGACATACATCATCTTGAAGTTTTCCAATCAGCTTCAAGTGCTAACGGCTCGGACAATGACCTGTTATAAGACCTTTTTTTTAGTTAGATATGCTAAGATCTTTCTTAGAAAGTTCCAGGATTTTGTGGGTCACATAAATGTTTGGATTAATGAATCGCTTCGACTGCCTAACAATAGAAGTGTTCTTCCAGGTTTCCTCCGCTTTTTTGAAGATTCCCACGCTTTTAGCTCCATTCTAAGGGTTGCAGCCGATAAGCCACAAAAGGGCTCTGGCCCGATGAACTTATGAGA